CACTTTGGACTTCCTCTCTGAGTATCATTGGCTCTTGTTCATATGGTATCTCTTGAAATGGTTGAACATTAACCATTTCCTTTTGGTACAAAATGTTTCCTTCATTTACTAATGGGGCATAATTCAAAACTAGGGGAAACAGCTTCAAACATGCATCAATAATTGGAACATGGAATGTACAAAGTATGAATCTAGGAATATTGGACATTATCAAAAATGAAACAGAACACATAAAGGTCAATATCATTGGCATTATTGAGCTGAAATGAATTGGTATTGGCCATTCTGACTTAGACAAATAATTTCCTTAACTATGCTGGGAACGTGAATTGAAGCATTCATTGTTAAGATGAACATTTCAAGATCTATCTTGAAGTACAGATAGTTGTGATGGGATAATACATGTACACCTACAAGGTAGTGGTGATGTAGAATAAGCACTGGACTGCTAATTGAAAGGTCTGTGGTTCAAACCCACCAGCCTCTCCTCAGAAACTCTATACAAGGTTAGCATAAGTTGAAACCCACTCTATGGCACTTAAAAACAACACAAGGGAGACCCGTAAATATCAATATTATTAAAATTTATGTGCCAACCACTAAAGCCACTGATGATGAAATTGAAGAATTCTGCGGGTTAATGCGCTGGACTGCAAGATCAGCTTGAACTGCAAGTTCGTTGGTTTAAGCTTATCATCTGCTCCTCAAAAACTGTATTAAGGGTTGCTGTGAGTCAGAACTGACTCGACGGCGCTTAACAACATCAACAATCAACTTCTTCAGTCTAAAATTGATCAAACAGTGCAATCAAGATGTATTGATAATTACTGATGATTGGAATGTGAAGGCTGGAAGCAAAGAGAAAGGATCAGTAGTTGAAAATATGGCCTTGGTGATACAAATCATGCTGGAGACTGCATGATAGATAATTTTGCAAGACCGATGACTTGTTCATTGCAAATATCTTTTTTAAACAGCATAAAAGATGAGTATACACATGGACCTCATTAGATGTAATTACCAGAAACCAAATTGATTTCATCTGTGAAGAAAGACGTGGAAGCGCTCCACATCATCAACCAAAACAAGGCCAGGGACTACTGTAGAACAGCCCATCAAATGCTCATATACAAGTTCTGGCTAAAGCTGAAGAAAATTT